ATTCTCTAGATATTTAGTTTCCTTCTTTTCATAAGATTTCTAGATTGTTTAGGATACTTAAAATTTTATTGCTTTATTAGAGTTATAGCTAGATTATAACTAGATCTATTTGATGCCTATATAAAGGCCCTTCTTCTTGTTATTTTTATTCATTGAAGATCATAATAAAAAACCAAACTTTTGTTCAAACACTTTGCCTTAGATTTCTTCTTGATTTCTTTTGCAATTTTATTCGTTTCGAGGGGCGCGGGTGTGTGAACCTCCGGGACACCTATCGTCGGTTCAAGGCACGAGTGTGTGGCTTATCGGAAAGCGGGACACGCGATCTTCATCAGCGTGTCTCGTCGCACCACGCGCGTGCTCCCTCATTCGCGCGTCGTCCTGCTCGCGAGTGGTCGACACGTGAAACTCTCCCCGATCATAGGTCCGTCAACGGAGTCCCTGGCCCCCATCATCCATCACGTGGTAAAACCGCACTTGTATCCTCTTTCGCGAACCGCCTGACCCCTTCGCTAAATCCTCGTCATCACCTCGTTGTTCCATCTCGCGCGTACCCTCCTTCACTCGACCTTCTCTCACACGTTTAGTCCTTGCGAGCCTCGTCATGGGTGTCGCGTGTTTACGCGTCATGCGGCCGTCACGAGCTTCTTTTGCACAGCCTGGTCAGTCGTCTCGACCTCTTCCGCGCCTATTCGCACGACTCGAACATGTCTCGTCCTCAGGCTCAGAAAGGTCAATGACCACATCTTCATCAACGAAACGGGTGCGGCGTGGGGCCTGGACAGTACCGCGGCGTGAAGAACCTCTGTGGGTGCGACGCTCGGGCATGACACTCTGTACGCACGTGACAGGCGTCATGGCGCAGCAGGCTGGCGCGGCAGCCTGGGGCCCGTGCCTAGTTGCACCACTTCGCGTCTCAGGTTCGTTTGGGCTCGTCTGGACTCGGAATTTGATTATGTTTTTTCCTGCTTGTCGCCAACGAACTCCTCTAAATAAATGTGCTCACACGACCAATTCATCCTTGAAAATAAATTCTCCCGATACTCCTGACCTGCATACCAGAAATGAAAACAAATGCAGAGACAACCGAGAAACAACCGGAAAACACAGAAAATCTCCAAATAAAGGAAAACACGCAATAAACTACAAAACGAACTAAAAATCAACGAAAAGACCTAATATGGGGGGGAAAAAAAAGGCAAAATGACAACTAAAAATGCAACAAAAATAGGACAAACAACTCCCCCACACTTAAACCTTGGTTCGTCCTGAACAAAATGACATGAAAAGAAAAGAAAACAAGCAAATGAGCATGGATAATAGTTTCAGGCAAGACAAGTTTCAAATTAATCGACTTAGCCGAGAAGAGTTCCAATGACCAATATAGCATATCTCAATTACAGCTCGAATTCTACGCTTTGAAAAGACAAACTCTCAAGCACGGTACTATAATATGTATGCCTCACTCAGTTTCTTACATGAATACCAAGTGGGTACCCTCAGATTGGTCAATGATCCTGTTTCAACATAAGCTTGTCAATTGTCTATTCATACTTTAAAACAATCAAAGTTCATGAATCGTAAATCCAGAGGACTTTTGGGGTGGCAGTGTAGGCATTGGTCAATGAAAGGATACATATAAAAATAACGTGGTTCAAATAAACAATCACACTCTCGAGCACATAAGTTACTCGAATACCTGCCACATATTCGTAATCAACATGCAACTAATCACTCCCACCAAAAACTTCACACACTACTCACACATGCTCAAGCTGAAATGCAAATTAAGTACTCGACTGTTTTTTCTTTCTTTTTTTTTTGCCTTATTTAGGGAGTTTGCCTTTTTCCTAACAAGATCGAGACCAGACGCAAGGACGACATTCTCCCCCTTTTAAGCGGAGTAGAATCCTTTTCGTTCGTCTTGTGAGTTCTTATTTTTCTTTCTCTTTTTCTTTTGTTTTTTTTTTTGTCAAGCACTATAATGTAACTCAACAAGTTCTAAACCTCCTCCAAACACATATTTGAAAGCTCCGTCATCATCACAAGGACTAATGTGTATCCCGTGCGATGCACGGGCAGACTTATTCCTTAATGTTTTTAACTTTTTTTTTTTAATATAATTATTTATATTTAAAACATCTCATTATTGGTTTCCTAATATGCATTTTTCATAATTAATTACCATGCGAATAAAACATAACTGACATAATTAATTCCTATAAGAAATAAACAATTAATTAATTATCATGCATACTAGACTGGACTTCCTATAAATATATCAGCCAAATGCGGGATTTTTCAAATTTTTTTGAAAAATATTTCAAAAGAAAATTAAGAAGGCTTCACATAATATCAGAGATGTAAAGGACTTTGAATAAAACTATGAAATATTCAAACTTAAAATTATTATTAACTTATCTACATATATATTTTTGTTTAAACCATGACATGTAATCATAAAGGTTTTAGTTAAAAACAATCAAATCTATTGAGCATAAAATAAAAATGTGAATGATTAACATATTATTTTATTGTAATTACATATACATAGATTAAAAAAGTTTTAGAAATGTTTGAAAACTTAACTACCTGATGAAATATTTGATTTCAGAATAATATAGATATTATAATCATATAATTTATTTGCTACGTTTATGATTTGTAATTATCCTATAATTTCAAATTCTTTATAATTGACCATAGTTTTTGGGTAGTCTCAGAAATTTTGAGATTATTTAAATTAGGGAGTACTTTGATTTTTTTCCTTTTTTTAGTTTAGTAAAGTGATTCTAAATTTTTGGAAAGATTGATAAATATTTTAATTTGTATATAATCCATATATATATAATTACTAGCTAATCTCATTTAATAAAATATTTAATAAAAACATTTTCCGTTTTCCTCCAAAAGGAGTTACATTTTTTTAATTAATTACTCACTAATCCCACATCTAAGAGAATTTCTTTTAGTTAAACCTAATTAGTTAATGGCTAAATTAAAAAGGTTTCTTTTAATTAGTCCCACATTTATGTTTCTTATTCTCATTTATATATATAAACGTGGTAGTCATTATTTTTGTGCAAAAACTATATATTATTATTTTTTTATTCCATTATGACTTGAATAAGTAATTAAAGTTATAAAAAATATTAATAAATGTATTAAATACAAACATTATAATACAGCTCATGTTACATTACAATATAAAAAATAAAATTATTTTTTTGTAATTTAATTTTCAGCCATACTCCATCAAACATATAGCTACAAAATGATAAGAAAGATTAGTTTCATAATTAAAATTAAAAATTTAGCTCCCTCAAATGGTAAAACCTTATAAATTAGTAGCATAGATACATTTTTTATTTTTTTTTCCCGAAACGATAGAGATATTATATTAATAAAAACCGCACAAAGTGCGAAGAAAAGGCAGCCAAAGGCTGAAAAGTACAACCAGAGACTAGAAAACTGGGAGGCAGATCCAGAGATCGCCTAGAGCCGACCCCAACGGGGTAATACTCGGGCAACACGCACGAAAACAACGAAAAAACACAACCACACGAAACCAACTACACCAACAAAACTAAACAAGCCCCCAACGGAGTAATACCCGAGTGTCGGACCCCCACGGAGTAATAAATTTGACACTCGGGCTCACAGGGGCCAACGGCCCAAACCTAAAACACTGACAACACAAACAATAGCAAAACAACGCAACACACAAACAAAAACTACAAATAAACATAAACCTAAACACGAAGCCTCCCTCAACAGAAACATCCGAAGAAGACGGCAGACCAAGCCAGCTCCGAAGAGAGCTCCAAAGCTCTAGTACCTCGCCCGCCACTGCAGAAGGCCTAGCAAGACGAAGACTATAGGCTCAGAACAAACCGAAGAAACTGACCCGCGCACCGACCGCAAGAAATCACAATCGCCCCCCAACCGGCTAACACCACTAGTCAATCCGAAACCATCCCGAATTTGCCTAACACCACTAGCCAATTCCGGAAACAGACGGCCTCCCACAAACTCAGAAACCGAGAAAGAGAAGGAAGGGGACGAATGACCTCAGAGCTCAGCCACGCCAATCCTGCCCGAAGGACCAAACCTAGCCCGGAACAACCACCTATCCACCCAGCCCGCAAGGATGAAACCCGACCCAACACCCCAGCAAAGCCGAGGTACCAGAGACCATACTCCGGTCAAAACCGAAGACCCGCAAATGGGAAGACCTTCAAGCCCGGCGATAAGAGCCGCTCTGACCACAGCTCGAACCCGACCTCCCCACCCAGCCCCCGGGGACGGACCACAACTCTCCCGCTCCACACCGAAACGCCGGCGAACAGAGCAGATCCACGGACACCAGAGCTGAACCCATCGACAAAGACTGGAAAGGGGAAACCTGAACAGGAGCGGCGCAGCCAACGAGCCGCTTCCAGCCACTGGTCGCACTCCTCCTAGCCTCTCCACCCTCGAGCTCCGACGGTCTTCAATTTCAGATCGACGAAATCCGCCGAAGATCGCCATCCTCACCCCGCTGCCAGAGAGAGAGAAGAGGAAGTGCCGCAGTAGTGGTATGGAAGCTCGACGGCGGGCAGTCCACCGGCAATCCGGATGGACGCCGAGAGAGGCGTGAGATGCCGACGATGAAGACGAGGGTTGCGGCAAAGGATTTGGGGATTTTGGGATTGAATTATGCCTTTCTAATTTATCAACACTTTCAATAAGTATAAATTTAATAATATAGCCGACTTCCACCGGATTTTCATATTCAAATTTAATTTTTACAAAATCATGCAATGTGGCTTGGGAGGGAATTTACGAAAAATTCCATAAAAACAAAAATTTTATCGTTTTGAAAAAAAAAATACAAAAATTTTAGTCGGGTTGAAATGTTTTGACTGTAGCATATTCCTATAAAAACCCTGTGTGAAAGGCACCTAATTTGACCTAACTCCTCACTTCACTCGCTACTTGCTAGAAAAACTGAAAGGAGAATGGCCTCTAGAGAACCCTCTTCCCACAAGAAGACAGTGAAGAAAGGCAATCGGACTCAGCCACCTCCGGCGACCAAAGTGGTGGCGAAATCCGGAGGCGCCGCCCAGGATATGGGGTCGGTTCCCAATTCGGATTTGGGCGACAACAGGCTGCCGCCTGTCCCCAAAACCCCCAATCTCTCATCCAAACGCGCCCGCGACGATGAACCCCTGCCGACTGACGGCAAGAAGGAGAAGGCCGTTGAGGCGGAAAAATCCCGCGGCGGATGCATTACCAGGCTTTGGAGCAACGAGGACGAGATAACCCTGCTGAAAGGGGTAATCGCCTTCAGGGGCGGCCCGAGCGCTGATATGGCTGCCTTTTACGATTATATTAAGGGAAATCTGAAGTTCGAGTCCTCGAGGGAGCAGCTGAGGAGAAAGGTCAGTAGGTTGAAGCAGAGGTACTTGAATGCCCTCAAGAAGGGCAAAAATGGCGAGGATCCTGTCTTCTCGAATCCCCACGAGGATAGGCTGTTTGAACTTTCTAAGATAATATGGGGGGGCCAAAATTCGAAAAGCATTGTCCTCAAAGAGAAGGAGGCTGCAGACTCCAAAAAGTTGAAGGAAAAGAAGAACAAGAGCAAGGATAATGGAGGAAGAACCTATACGAACCCGCACGAACAGGAAATTTATGACCTTTCAGAAAAATTGTGGGGGGCTGAGAAAGAAAATGGGTTCAACAAAGCCAGTGCCAATGGGGACCATAGAAATAGTGAGATGATGAAGTCTTTCTTGATGGGAAAAGAGTTGATAGGTTTTGACGAAAGGACTTTGGCGGCTGCAAAGCACTTGCTCGAGGAGGGGGAAATGGAGGATGAAAATCGAAAGACCTGGAAAAAACTGAAGATTGAGGAGACGGAGGTCTTGTTGAGGCATTCGAAGGTGAAAGCAAAACAGGCGAAACATCTCCAGCAGTCCATCAACTCCTAGTTCTATTATTCTGTGCCGTATTTTTGGCTTACTCTGTGATGACTCCATTTGATAGTTAGCTATGTGTTTATGCAGTCTTGCTGGTTTTGTTAATTTGTCTAGGGTGGTGCTATCTGATATTTTCTGAACCTGAACCCTGTTTATCCTTTTAAGTCGCGCTTTACTCTATTTTGTGGTGGAATCTAACTACATTTTCAGTTTGCTTGTCAATTTTTATGTCTGAAACCGTGTTGTCAATTACCTTTCGGTGAATCAGTTCACTCTGTCACAAGTGTGTTGGGTTTTGTGCACTGCTTATTCAGATAAGCTTCATTTGGACTGGAATTGCCAATGTAAGTACCTCTGAAAAATGCCTGAGGTGTATATTTTCTACCGTCTCCAAAACATGACTCGTGCATAAGCTTATGCGCATTCCCCATTTCTTAACTCAGTTTCTATTTCTAAAGAAACTATTGAATTTTATGCTTTGCACAGAGCAGTGGAGAGATCAAACTGTTACCACAAGTACACGCCGTGTGTGTTTGGACTCACTTTTTACATCCTTCTTTTGGGGGTGGTTCAGATATTTATGTCTCAAATACCCGATTTCCATAGCATGGATTGGCTTTCGGTGGTTTGTGCTGTCATGTCTTACACGTATTCTTTCATTTGTTTGGGATTAGGAGCTGCAAAAGTCATTGGTGTGTTCTGTTTTTCTTGCAGTAGAATTACATAAATGAGCCATTGTCGTTTGTTCCTCTTTTACAAATTACTCTTGCCGATGTTAGGGCCCGTTTGGCCTGCTCGGCTCGGCCAACTGAATGCAAAATTCTAATTAAATTTTATGATAAGAGTAAACCTTGGGAAGTTTGGCCCAAAAGGTGTGATTGAGAGGGTAGCATTACTTGAATATCAGCACCCACTAAGACTCAAAAGGCGTTGTTGCTAGTTGCTCAAGCACTTGGAGATGTTTTATTTGCCTATCCTTACTCCATGATTGTTCTTCACATACAGGTATCCCAAATATTCTTGTTCTCATACTCTTAAGACTTTTAAATTTTTATTCTCACAACACTTTTGAAAAAATGGGAAGGACACCCGAAGGTCACTGATTCTTAACTTTTAATTGGAAAATGAGTGCATTTTCAAGCTCATGATTCTGATTTTGCATTTTATAATCAGAATCTATAAGATAGGAAGTGCAATATCAGATTTATACTTGTGGTTCTGATATGTCCTCTACTATGCACAAATAAAAGTATATTTACAACTTTCACTACTTTTGTTTTCTCTTAATCCAGTCTCATGTTTTTACAAGTCTTCAGATATATACTTAACCAGTATTTGCAACTATGGATAAATAATCGGCAGCACGTTTGTCAACAAACAGTACATTCTCAAACGTCCCCTTTTGCCAAAGGTTGTGCTTTAGGACAGCCTATGTTTCCGCAAGAACTGCAATTGCCATGGTTCTCCCCTATTGCAATCAGGTCCTTGGAGTTAGTGGGGCCATCACATTTTGGCCCCTGGCTATATATTTCCCGGTCGAGATGTGGTTGGGGCAGAACAAAACCGGAGCCTGACAGGAAAATGGATTGTTCTTAGGATTTTCGAAACTCTCTTTCTGTATAACGATGTTTGCTTTGCTCAGGTCCATCCAAGGACTTATAGCTGCCCGTTTCAGCTAAAAATATTTGATGAATACCTAAGAACTAAAAATATTTGATGAATACCTTAGAACTGCCCACTTGTCATGTGTTAGGGTATACTGTCAAAGTTCGGCCTTCAGTTTCTGATAATACCATTTTGAACTGACAATCATGTTTTGATCGGTTTAGGGATAATCAGGCTCGAACTGATGACTTAAGTATTTGTGTTTGTAGTTTATTTACTTACTAGTGAAAATCCCGTGCGGTGCACGGGGATTTCATACCTTAGAATATTTTTTTAAAACTTTATTTTAATAAAATATTAGTCCGTTAACTCGCTTATATTAATATAAATAATATTTTGACATATGTATTCATTTTTAATACATAAAAAATAATAATTTTATGTATTTTGGTTCATCATAATATTCAAATATTATTTTATTCAACAATTTCGACCAACCTTCTTTAGTAACAATCACGCTGTATGATGAAAACTATTGTGCTGGACGGATGCATAATACTATTAAATGGGATTTTGTGTGCAACAAGGTAAAAGTAAAGTATTTTCCTTAATGCAATAGAGCATAATCAAAGAATCTGCACCCGCCGTGAACAACTAAGGTTGTCTCGGGTGGAACTTGAGATCCAAAACTCCTGCAAAAAGTACACACATAATTAATTATATGACAGAAAAATTGCAAATCTATAATTATAAATAAAATAAATCTAATTCATAATGACCAACATTGATACTTGCAGTATTACATATATATACACACACACACTTAAAACTGTACAGATTATAATTACCAAGCATATTTTCATTAAATAATTATAATTATTTTACTCACACATCAGATGAAGCACTGTATCTTCAGACAATAGACTTCCTATTTGCATTCACACTTAAATTTCGAGGCGCGGGTTACAAAAAATTACCTCGTCCATCAGCACTTGAATGCCCTCGAAGGATCTCCAAAAGAACAATCGGAGGTTCCGTGGGGTCAATTACATCGAGCCTCTTCTCTGATTCAGATCAGAATAAACCATGATGGAAATCATATGTCGTGCAATCATCTGAGCACAAGGCAAATAAAGGATATGACCATGGTAAACAACCCCAATAATGTCCTCTCAATGACACCTGAAATTTTGGATCAGCACAGTAATTTGAAAAAAAAAATAACAAATCCACATCACTTGCAACAATTAATAATTTATGGTAATTTGTTCTACAATTTCCATCACATTTACCAAAAAAAAAACCTAAAACAGAGTGGATGTTCTATGATTAGGCTTAACAAAGCACAATCAGTAGCTATCTATTGTCTCCTAACATCCTTCCAGCTTGTTCTCAGCCTCAAAGCTCTTTTCCAGCAAGTACACCCGTGACATTAATGTCCAAACCACGTCACACACTAATTAAAAATGAGTGTGTATTCATTATGATCCAACTAATTATGTCACGTTATCCTCGATTACAGAAGTAATTTACGTTCAACACGCATTTATCAAGCAAATACTATAACGGACAAGATTCCAACGTGTGACCTGGATTAGAACATCTGTGCCCATCTATCTTAGGTACCCCACTTATACCTTAAAATATCATATATGCACCGCTACAAAAGCTTTATTCATATTCAAATATCGTTTTCCGGAAAATACCACTGATAGGTCGAAAATTATGCACGTCTTATATATTTAATAGTGTATTTTTATACACTTAATTTAATCGCACGTTTTTATTTTTCGACCTATTTATTATTTGAATGGATTTATTTGCTATGATATTTTGTGTGTTATTTTCAGTATTTTGGAGCAACTTGTGTACGTGAAGCCTTGGATGAAAGTTTAGCCCACAATGCAGTAAGAATTAAGGTCCAATTCACGCAGAGTCACGACAAATGGGCTTACATAGTATTAGATATTTTGTCCATGCACTCACGGAAAGAAAAAAATAATGGAAAAAAGCACCAACATTACTTGAACAGGAGGAAATTACTTGGAATGAGACTTTGAGTCTTTGACATTATTTTATTATTATTATTTTTCTTTGGGCCGTAATTAGCATAAGAAATTGTTGGAGTGAGACATTATTGACGGGGAGGAGAATTTTATTGGCGTGAAGACTCCACTCACCACACGCATATCATATGATCGAGATTTATTTGCGAGAAGGCGACGGAAGACACTAGTAGAGGAGAAAAGAAATAGAGCAGCGGGAAGAATACACCACACGCAGACTGTGAAAGAGACTACACACGCGGAGGGAAGCTGCACCTGCACGAGGGAGATATTTTATTCTCCCTTTTATTTATTTATATTTATTTTTATTAGTATGTTAGGCTAGGATTTTTATCCAGTTTGAGGGGATGTTTGAACCCTAACTTGAATTTGTCTATGAATTTGAGGATTTATTTTTATCGTTGATTAATCGAGACGCCGTATTTATTTTTGCTGATGAGTTGATTCATGCTATTTGTGTCGAATGTTTATGAATTATGGTGTTTGATTTTGTTTGGCCAACTAGGTTGAATATCTATGATTTAATTGCTAGATTCGAGGCTTTAATCCGTAATTGTTATTGTCTCATTTCGTTAGTAGTAAACTAGGGGTCGTGCATCTCTAGGGTAGCGTGAACATAGGTTAAACGGTCCGAGCTTTTGCCACCGTTGCTTAGACTGATCTATTTTCCTAGAAATTAATGTTGCTAGTGTATTAAATCTAGAGAGCTTATTCTAGGTTGTCTGCTAGTTAGGTTTAGTCGAAGAGCCTATTTCGATTAAATATTCAGTAAGGGAAAATTCGGTTAACAGAGCTTATTGTTAGCTATGGTTGGTAATTCATTAGCAATTTAAAGAAGGCGTCGAAATTAATTAACGGTAGATTAAGATTGGGGGATAACTGAACCGAAAACTGGACTTCTCTTATTTTATTTGATTTTTATTTCCATTGTTATCTTTATTAAACCAATCAAAAAACGGGGGTACCGCATTGGGCAGAAGACGATCCAAAAAGCGAAGGCTCACCCAGCTAAAGGAAGGTTCAAAAAATGTACATACAACAAATTAAAAATAAAAAGAAGCTTCGACCTGTCCCAAGAGAGGGATGCCCGGGTGGGTAGACCGAACGATTAAAGGCGGGGGAATGAAGACGCGAGGGACAGGCGCCAATAACAAGAATGGGAAGCCCCCATCTTTTATTGCTTTCCTAGTTTAATTCAATTAATACGAGATTGTCACAATTTAGTTCCTGCTCCTCGTGGGATCGACCATTACTCGCCATTATTACTAGTTAGTAGAGGTTAGTCGAGGAAAACATTATAAATTTAAATTTGCCGTGTTGCGACGCGCGGTCAACCACAATGAACCTTATGTAGTTATCTTCAACTGCAAATTAAAAGATGATGAACAATTAAAAGAAAAACCTGCTCAGGAGTGAGACAACGTTTCTTTTCCGGTAACTGCTCGTCGAAATCGGCCGTGTTGAAGAAAGGCAGCCTCGTTTCCTCCATGCCTAAAATAGAGCTTAATATCTAAATATTCGATTATACACATAAAAATTGTGAATCACGTGTACTGTAAAAAACTGGGAAAATAACGTGCAGGGGAAAACGGAAATGAAATTGGAAAATGACCGTTTATGGATACCTCTTAAACGTTAGTCGCCATTGTTACCCCAAAAAAAACATGTTGTGGTGGCAAGACGGTCAAAGAAAATACGCCCCGAAATCCATTTACCTCGATCTTTCGACGGCTAAATCAATCGGAGTCAATAGCCACACGCACGACGTGTATGTGTGTGTATATATGTGAATGTAAAGAGGTTTTTTAAGTACCTCTTTAATTCGATGTAAATCAGGTGCGATTCTGGCAGAAGAAGCTCGAGCACCGGAGTCGGCTATCCAACGGGCAGATGCAAAATCCTATCACGCAAAGACGTTTCCCAGCTTCGACAATTTTTTTTTTCCGGCAGGGTGGCGCTTGACACATCTCAACAACCCAATTTTCCTGGANATCGTCGTCTCCTTCCTCCATCCCCACGGACCTCCAAACAGAAAAATCTCATGGTATGGACTTGAAGTGAAGAAGAAATTCGAGTTTCCTCTGCCGACGAAGCCGAATTCCACCGTCATGGAACCAAATATCCCGACGTCGGTCTTCGAGGACTTGTCAAATAGGCAGCGGTGGTCGTTCAGCTTGTAGCTACTTCAGCAGCGGGCTCGACCCGAGCCCAACATCGAAGTTGATGGAGAGCTTTTGGCGATCACCAACGGCGATCTCGGTAGAGGAGAAGCGAAGGCCGATGATGGTTAGGGAAATTTTGGCCCTGAGAATTTGGGGTTTCGAGTCCTCCCGGAGGATGAGCGAAGATTTCATGATGTAAGTTTTTTTCCCGAGCTAATAGCGGCGATTTTTAATGGAGGTGTTGCTTCATTATGATGAGATAAGACGGACTAAAAAAATCTGATTTTTGTTAAATGTTTGGATTTAAAAATTTTCCAAAAAATTTCAAAATAGATTTAGGGGGAATATTTTAATTTTTTTTTTTAAAAAAATACTTTGTGTAGTAAATCTGAAATTTTAGGCGAGAATTCTATGAATTTATAGTTACTATTTTAAGTTTTTTAGGTTGCCTCTTTATATATTAATATAGATGCCTTGCAATGTATGGAACGGGAATGTAATATAAATTATATTTTTAATTTTTTCTTTCTATTATTTTATTTGTTTTTATTCTTTTGCTTTTGTCAAAATCCTTTCACAACCAACATATTTGATTATATGTATATATGAGCGTGTTCAGATGACAATGAGGTGTAATAAAAAATAAAATAAAAATAAATTTGTATCGTTAGACTATCAAGCCAACAGTTATAATCGAGTCAAATTGTAATATATGAATTTGACCACTCATTATAAGGGTATTTTGGTCATTAAGGACATTCGGCCACCCATTGAAGTATTTTGGTCAATAATCCACCAAAAAACACCTACCCCACCCTTTCTCTCTCACACACACATAACACACTCAACACAAACTTCTTCACACGCGAACAGGCACACACACACAAGATGACGAGTCATCCACCTGTCGCTGGCACAATCCGTTTCTGCCACTAGCCCCGTCGAGCACGTCATCGTCGTCGCCACCAGTTCCCAACAGCCTTAGGGCTGCTCATTCGGTTTAAAACCGAACCGAATCGACCAAATTTTCGGTTAACGAAAATTTAGTTTGTCCATTATCATAACCGAAAACCGAACCGAAATTTACGGTTCGGTTCAGTTTTTAACCGAAAATCCAACGATCGGTTCGGTTCGATTATCGGTTAATCGCAATAAATAATTAATTTTCTCAATTTTTAACGGAACAAAAAATTTGATGTTTTAGCCAAACCAAAAAAAATTAATTTTTTATACCTTGTTTAATTTTTTCAATAAATTCTAAATTCTCCTCAAAGGAAGATCTCGGACCCGAATCGTGACTTGGACTGTGAGGAAGCCAATCTTGAGTGCAAATTAATACTCGAGCCATTTTGTGGGTCATTGAAACATGAAAATCATCAATCATTGAAGCAAATTAATGCTTTTATAACTTATATGTATGAATAAAAAACATGTATATATATGTGTACAATCGGTTTTCGGTTTGGTTCGGTTAACTGATCACAATTATCTAAACCACTGAATTTTTTAAGAAAATGTAAATCGAAAACCGAACCAAATATTCGGTTTCGGTCCAACCCAAATTTTCGGTTTCGGTCGGTTCGGCTCGGTTAACTGAACTTTGTGCACCCCAAAACAGCCTTTCCACCAACAGCCCCGTCGCCTTGCAACTCGGCGAAACGCCGTCGCTTCAGGGCCGCTTAATCATATCCGTTGAACTCTGTCGAGATGGTCTGGGAGTCTTGAAGACATCCGTAAAGTAAAAGCAAGAGAAAGAGCTCTGCAGAGTCGCCGCCAGCAAATCGGAGTCGTCATCGCACTCGTCGGACGTCTGGCGATTAGAGACGTTGATCTGATCGATCGCCAAGTTGACCTTCACTGTTTGGGAATGAGGAGAACTATATCTTGGGTGAGGAAGAAGGGTGAATTTGCATATTTTGAAAAATGATTTGGGGTGTTTTGAAAAATTTGACATGTTTAGGGTCTTGATTGCAACTTTGTAAATTTTAATATATATCAATTTAGTACCTGAGGCAAATCGGTAATTTAAAAAAAATTAGACAATCGACTCCTTCTCCCATCAACTACACGATCCTCATTTACCTAGAATTAATAGAAAATATATTAAAATAACATATTTATGAAGTATAGTAAAAGAATATAATTAAAATTCTAAAAGATACTACTACGGAAATAATAACTAAATTTAGTATCTAGTATACAAATAACGTACATTAACGCAAAGGAAAGAAAATCCCAAATTTATATATATTATAATAAAGTGAGAAACACGATTAGGTGGGGCCCGACTGTTCCTTTTGTCTGAAACACAACTAAGTCGTAGATTCCCCAAGGTTCCACAACAGAGACGATGGCTTTCTCTTTGCAAATGATGTCGTCTTCTTCTTCTTCCTCCTCTGTTCTCGGCCGTCGGGAAAAAGGGTCGGTAAGATTTCCTAATTATAAGATTCCTGATTCCCGTTCCTATCCTCGTTCCACATGGTCCTTTAGGTTAAATCCGGACAGCGTTCGTCCGATGATTTTGTCTTCGAGTAGACCATGTTCTTCTTCTTCTTCATCATCTTCTTACTCTCCACCAAAATCTTCATCTTTTTCATCATCTCCATGGCTGATGCTGCCCCACTTATTTGAAGCTGGCCCCACCACCACCATGAAATACAAATTCTACAGCCTGGCCGAGAACAAAGTCGTAACCGTGGCCACCGAATTCCCGGCGGCCGGCAGCGACCTGATGGTGTTGAGGGGATCCTCACACGGCTGGCTAGCTCTGCTCAACCCTCGCAATTTCGACCTTTTCCTCTATAACCCCATCTCCCACCGCCGCATCAACCTTCCCTCAGTTGGAAACTTGCCCAATTACCCCACCCCACAGAGCTCGAGGGACCTGGAAAAGCTCATCCTCTCCTGCTCCCCGGACGAAGAAGAAGAAGGCTGTCGGGCTGCAATCATAAACGATATGCATGTGCTGGCTTTCTGCTGCCCGGGGCGCAGTGACAAGTGGACCCTGCTTGGCGATCTTCGGTTTTGCTATTATGGGTTGGCCCCGTGGAATTGGGAATGGGAAGGGAAATATATGGATTGTGTCTACTCCTCGCAACATCAAGCATTATTTGCCCTCACTGGTTGTGATGAAGTGGAATGTTGGGATCTGCGGGACCCTTTGTCCCCGAGTGTGATCAAGACTTACGAGAAAAAACCCCAGAAGATGACGCAAAAGTTGCGGCCTCCCGGAGCCGAAATGTTTAGGCAGTATCTAGTGATTGCAGGGCAGGATCTTCTGGTGGTGTCTCAATATCTGATGGAAATTGGTGGCTCGTTTACTTTGTCTGATGGCAAACACAATCCTGATTACAGCTACGTGACTGTTGATTTCGATGTTCATAGATATGATCCTGAGGATGTGGATCATCCAAAGTATGTGGAGGGCTCGTCCCTCGGTGGTTGGGCTATTTTTGTCGGCTTCAGCAGCCACGCAATTGCATTGCCAGTGACTGACTTCCCGGAGCTCGAGCCTAACTCCATTTACTTCACGGATCCAACGTTGGTGACGCAAGTTGAGAATTGCGTGTGTGGTGGCCATGACATCGGTATCTTCAATTATGAGGATAAGACTGTGTCGCGGTGCTATTATCCGAGTGATGTTAGAAAGATCTTCCCAGCGCCTATGTGGTTCTTTCCTGACTCAAAATTGATTTGATTTTCTGGATTTGGATTCACATGTTTCTTTAGTAATTTATTTATAGGTAGTTTTCATTTGGGCCGGATGGACGGGAACAGGAGGAATGTAGTTCTTTAGCTTATAAGACATAGGCTGTTCTGGGTCATTTATTATGGGCTGTACAAATGAATATGCATTCTATCGTTTCATGTGATGATTATTACTATTGACCTTTATCTCGAGAAATTGTATGCCATATGAACTTCACCATCCACAGTCCACCTATTGATGATCTAGATATGCAGGACATGTTTTTAACAAAAGAAAATGTTTACGCATATGTTGGCTGGAAAAAGGAAAATGTTTATGCATTTGCAATAATCAATAAAATAAATAATCAATCAAAGAAATCCTCTCTTTTTAAATAAATAATCACTAAAATAAATTCTCTCTGTTAGCTGGAAAAAAAATGCACACACATTTGTTTAAATAGACCCTTGTTTCACAATCCTTTCAAGGTCCTCAACATTAGATGGATAACAGCTCGGTGACACAGTCTTGTCTTCATAATCGAAAATGTGGACAACTTGAGTGCTGTTATCAGTGAAGTAAATTGAATTGGACTTGAGCCCAGAGAAGTTTGCCACAGGCAAAGCAAAAGCATTACTCTGAAAGCCGACAAAGAGGGCCCAAGCACCGAGGCCCGAACGCTTAAATCCACCTTCTTCTTCCTCCGGGTCATACCTATGCACGTCAATCCACCACCAGCATGCTGAGTCACCACCACCAAGTCCCGCCCAACCACTGCCAATGCTCCACCGGCAGATTATCTGGCCGACGCTCACACCGCTCATCGTAAAACTTAAATTTATCAAATGTACGATCATGCCTGCTGCTGTCCAGCTCAGCCAGCTCCCTTTTTTCCGGGTCCAGCGGGTCCCGTAGGTCCCACGAGTTCAGATGCCCGCTGGTAGTGAGGGCGAACAACAGTTTGTGCTCCGGCGAGTACACGCAGTCCTCGTAGCTGCCGGACCACCTCCACCGGCGGCCGGCCACCTCGTCCCACCACAGGAACATCTCCATCTCACCCAGTGGGGTCCACACCTCGCTGATTCCCGGGCAGCAAAAGGCGAGTGTCCCAATGAAATTGAAGATAATCACGGCCCGGCAGTTTTCCTCGTCCTCGTCGGGGGAGCATGAGAGGATACACTTGTCGACGCTCTCTCTCATGTAAGTAATAGAGTTATAGTAGGGGTGAATCGGCAGGTCTCTCTGCTTGATCGGGGGAAGTTTTATGCGGCGGCCAGAGACGGGGTTGTACAGGAACAGGTCGAGGCTGTCCGGGTTGAACAGAGCCTTCCAGCCGTGAGAATATCCCCTCAATACCAAGTCCTCGCCGGGAAACGAGTTGATTTCAGCACAGCCTGCCAGCCGTGCCACTTTTCTGATGGCGAGCGGCTGTTTCTGCCGGGGAGACGGATAAGATGAACTTTGTAGCGAAATCGCGGTCATCTGTCGGGCGACTGGCAAATATAGCCGACTGGTGGTGGTTGGAGAGGTTCCAGGAGAAGAATGAGATCGGGCCTTATATTTTCCAGATCCGGCGAACCATTTTCCACATATGGAAGTGGAAGAAGCCATGGATGAAACTCTTAATTTTCTCTAGCCCTAATTTTTTCCCCAAATTTCATCCTCTCAAAACAAAATTGTGCCTTTTTACTTTCTAGAACGTATTAAATCGACTAGATATACATATAATCCGTAAAAAATCTCAGTTACTTAAGAAAAATCTGAAACTGTATTTTTTTAACAAATTTTTAGGAAGAAAATTAATATCTTTCCATAATTTTTATTTTATTTTTGAAAAAAAGAAAAATGAGATTTTGAAGATTATAATTCCCAACTAATTCGTCATATATTTGACACGATCGTCTTCTAATGAAACAAGATCTTCTTTATCACGATCACCTTTTTTTCTTCCCTTAAGATCAACTCTGCACCCGTGCCCATTCTTCTTCTTCCCTTAAGATCAACTCCAAGCGGCACCCATACCCAAACGCAAACGGGAAACAAAAAATTATTATATTATACATAACAATATAAAGTATTGCCTTGTTCTTTTGACTGGAATCATCGTCATGTCGACTTAGTTGGGCGCAGTCGATTTTTTACTTTGTTGTTAACTTCTGCCACCTTGGTTGTCTTCTTTTGGAGCCTCTTGGAGCTTCAATTTTTTTATATTGGAGTTTCTTTTGGACGACCTTATGCTTGAGTGCTTGAAATTATGGTGTTAGATGAGATCGGAATCGAGTTAATCTAGCTTTGGCTTCACTATTGGCTGATTTGGCATCGTTTTTTTTTTCACATTGCCATGGACGAATTTGTGTAGAAAGTTGTGGTTTGTGTGTGGTTATAGTGATATTTTGGTTTTCGGTCTCGATTGCGTTGAAGATACACCATTGCGGAGGATTTGGTGAGAGACAGAAATTACTTTTTCTTCCTTTTCGGTTGAGTAAGACAAGTTATGGGATGAACACGAATCCAAAAAATCATGTTCAAATTTAACCTCATTAATTGTCTTTGGTAATTACTAGTGGGTAGCCCGTGCGATGCACGGGTAAATAATATTAAATAATAATTATGAATTAACGATGACAGTAAATAATATTAATTAATAATTATAAATTAAATATGAGGGTAAACGAAGGCTAGCCAGTCTAAGCCGATCCCGAGGATCGGAGTCGCCCGACCTCTTGCAATCAAGGCTTCATTTTCTGCTGCTGCTTATAGGGCATCTTACGGGACACTTTTCCGTCTGTTTGGACTTCACTTCGCTTCGTTCCGTCATAGGGTTCTTTTCACCTTTCCCTCACGGTACTTGTACGCTATCTACTACCCTCTATTCGCTGGGATAAAGCTTTTCCTCCAGAAAGTATTCGGAGAGATGTAAATTGACGAGTATCGGAATCGCATTAATTAAAAATTAAATATGAGGGTAAACAATATTAACTAATAATTGTAATTAAGATGGAGATATTAACTAATAATTGTAATTAAGATGTGAAGTTAATATGTGATATAATTTATCGTATATCAGTTGTAAACAATATACATTTATCTTGTATAAAATAACATAAAAAATGTATGTTTAAAATATTAAAAACACTTAAAATATTATATAACGTATGTAAAGTATCTAAAATTTTATATATCATTATTGAAGATGTTAAGTCACCTAAAATCTTTCTAAACTATTTTATAAATAAAACATGTCTAAAATTGTTTAAAAAAATCTTGCCAAAAATATGTTATTCAATTTCCAGAACATGATGATAAGTATAAGTTTGAATTTTAGAATCCACGTGATATTATTTTTTAGATCCGTGTACTATACAAATTATTCATTATGTGTGAACTTCATATTGATTTATTGATTTTATTTTATTTCAATACAAAGTTGATCGTCTCATTTTGTTTTACCATATTTTCATGGAGATTTAACAAAGTCAATCGCATTTATAAAATGATTTGGATATCAACATACAATTTATAATGGAGTTTTCAAAATTATGTACTATTAACAAATGATATATTATCATTAATTATATTTTTTTAAATGCACAATTATTGAGACTGATAATAATTTACCTTTTGAAACTGAGTATAGAAAAAATAATAGATTGGTAAACAAACAAGTGATAAACATTACAAAGTTTATTATCACACTTTCCAAATAAAAAAAATTGTGATGATTAGTGGAAAATGATATTTAACAAATAGCATTCAATATTTTTTTTTGAAGGCATAAATATAAAGACCGATATTCTAAAATTTTTATTACCTTTTCAATTGAGATTTTATAAATATAGAGACTGAGATTTTAATGTTCTTCGTTGTTTCTGTGAAAAAATAAAATAAAAATGAAAAATGCACACTTAATAGATCTTAGCTAGAATTTTTAAATAATAAAATGAATTAAAGCCAAAAATTTAATGCAACATTAAATGTTATATGATTTTTCAAAGATAAAAATAAAAAAATAATAAAACTTACTATTTATAGGTTGCATTAAATTCTTTCCTATTTTTTTGCTACTATTTTTGTTAAATGGTAATCTATAGTAATATAAAGAGGTTGTTGGAAAAATACTTTTATAGTAAGTTTGACTAAAAAAATAAATATTTTGACTTACTATTAATGGAAATTTCGAAAAAAACACATGTACCAAAAAAATTGAGATTTGTATGGTAACAAATTTGGAGATTTTAATGGTAACAAATTTAATTGAGTATCCCAAAAAAATTGGAGATTTTTATGGTAACAAATTTGGAGATTCCTATACCAAAATTTAATTCATTTTAAATATTAATCCATAGGAATCTACTTTTATTGGTAACAAATTTAAAGATTGTTATGCCAAAAAATTGAGATTTTGAATTGAGATATTCCAACAATTACGGATTTTTTTCCTATTCAAATTAATGTTGTAAATCAACCAAAAAATTATTCCAAAAATAATGGATGTTATACCAACTATTGATAAACTCTAATCCTATAGGAGATTTCTATGGGATTCTTATGGTAACAAATTGAGATTCTTATGCCAAAAAATTGAGATTTTGAATTGAGATATCCTAACAATTTCGGATTTTTTCCCCTTCAAGTCCATGATGTAAATCAAACAAAAAATTATTCCGAGAATAATGGATGTTATACTAAATATTGATAAACTCCAATCCATAGGAGATTTTTATGGGTTTCTTATGGTAACAAATTGAAGATTCTTATGGTAACAAATTTGGAGATTCTTATACCAAAATTTAATACATTTTAAATATTAATCCCATTGGAATCTATTTTTATTGGTAACAAATTTGAAAATTCTTATGCCAAAAAATTGAGATTTTGAATTGAGATATCTCAACATTTACGGATTTTTTTTTCATTCAAATTAATGTTGTAAATCAAACAAATAATTATTCTGAGATAATGGATGCTACACTAAATTAATATCACTGGGCCCATACGTTAATATGATATTAATTAGATAGATAAATTACGTAAATCTTTCCTAACAAAATGCGTTCCAATATTGTTAACCAATTTAATGGGATTTTCTTAACTAATTTGATAGGATTTTGGTAACCACGGGATTTTGTTAGTTTTTCGTGGAAACACGAATCTTCATTATTGATAAGGTTTGATAAGATTTTGTTTCCAAATTTTATTTTATTTTTTTGTTTTTTTTTTCTCTCTCAAAAATTTGATAAGGTTTGATAAGATTTTGTTTCCTTTTTTCTCTCTCTCTCGAAAATTTGAGTCGTGGATTTGAAAAAAAAAATAAAATAAATTAAACATATCATATTGATAAAGTTTTAGTGTGGGCCTAAAAATCAATTTTGATTTGATTGAACTTTGTTTCATATAAACCTAAGAGAATCAGACGTTTGAAAAAATAAAATATTAATAGTAAATAATCATACCATATTTGTAAAGTTTGATTTGGAATATTGAGGCATAAAAATCAATTATGATTTGATCACATTTGTTTTATAGAAGTTATCTTAGAAAATTTTACACGTTTCAAAAAATTAAAGATTATAATTTGTAAATTAAAGTTTTGGATTTGTCCAAATAAATAGATCAAAATAAAAATATTATTTTTCAATCTATCCAAAAAGTCTTACCAAATTCCATTGTAACAAACTCCATTATTTTTGGCTACATAATCTTCTAAATATTGGTTCGTCCCTCACAAGTGAATCACGTTCCACATTTTTTTTTTAACAAAACCGATAACACATATTTTTAGAAGTCAATCATAATCATAATAAAAAAATCGGATCGGATCATATTAAATACCTTACGTAAATATTTTTTTATTTCCTAGACATATGGCACATACACATAACTATATAAACATCACCAACGTTGAACAAAAAGTATTCGACATCCAATATAACCCACAAAACAATTTTTTCTACAAGCTTTTACATCACCATTGAAAATGGCTTCGGATTTTGGAGTAATCAAAGATATCAAAAGATCCAATAAGCCACCAATCAAGCTACGCATAATTAGGATGTTCCAACGAGTTGAAGACGTACGCAATTACCGAAATATGCTTGAGATTATCTTTTATGATTTTGAGGTAATATATTCATTTAGTATTATTTAAACTAGTACGTAACCCGTGCGATGCACAGGATGTAAAATTTGGAAGAATAATATAATCTCACGTGCATTAGGATCGAAATTGAAATCATTAAAATACATAGGAACATTGTTGAATCATAAAAAGTTTGGTAACAATCATAAATTATTAAAAACCTCATTGTACACAACATTATGAGTTTGATTATTTGGTAACTCCTCGTTATCACAAACTAATATTTTCAACCCCCTTCTATTATTTACACGCGAAGCAATAACATATAATTGACCGTGACTAAAAACGGGTTTCTTCAGGAAAAGACCAACGTGCGATAGAAAAAGAGTTTTTAAAAAAAGAGTTTCTAAATATTGAAAAGTCAAGGCAATCAGTTCAGATTAATTAAAGGTCAAAGAATATCCGCTCCTTGAAATAAAGACGTGTGCTATCATTAACCAAATCTCCGGTTATTGATATAGAGTGGTACCAAAAAATAGAACGCGATAAGAACGCTTCATGGAAATATCAATGAGATAAGGTCATAACAGATTGCTATACATTTTAACGATGAAAGCTCATATGGAATGATTTAATTAGATATGTGAAAAGGACATAATTAATGAGAAGTGTGAAAATGACATAATTAATGAGAAGTGTGAAAAGAAAAAAAACTTACCAGTTTTGGAAAATATTTAATGCAAATCCGACATTGACCATAATTTGACCTACTATTTTGGATAAATGTTAATTCTTATTATATAAGTATAGATGCATCATTTTATGCAACATCTTTTATAATTTATTTATTGAAGTATTCATTATGCAATGTTTTAGGGAGGATGAATTACTGGCATAATTCGACCAGTCAATATCCAAAAAATCATCGGTGATATTGAAGAAGGTGGCGCTTATATCTTGACAAACTATCAAGTGAAAAGCAATACTGACATCCATAAATCGACGATAGGTAAAAGGAGGATCATTATCAATGGTCAAACCAAGATTATCAAATGGAGGGGTGATTTATCAAGTGGAGGGGTGATTTCTCTATTTCTAACTTTAATGGATGTTCGTAACATTGATGAAGTCATGTTGTTTGGTACGTTATAATTTTTTTGTTTATTTCTTATTTCGATTTTTTTAATTTAAAATATGTAATAAACTATTTTATATGTTATACATTTCAATATGATGCATTTTCTTATATTTTTGTAGATGTTATTGGATTAATTGTTTCCCATTATGTTTTCTTACAACATGACTATAAACAAGAGTCATGAACAATCATTATCGCATGTGGGCTTCTTTCTTAAGAAACCAGTGTTTAGTCATGGTCAATTGTATGTTGTTGTCTCCCCGTGTCACAAACAGAAATGGGTTTGAAAGTCCTAATTTGCGGCGACAATGACGTGCCAAAGAATCAAACCATGAACGTTGTATATAAGGAAGTGTTAAATAATATATAGATTTTATTATCATTGTATTTATTAATTTATTTATTAGTAATGACATGATCTTTCCTTTAATAAGTACTTTGAATTTTAACTGAACATTGCTATATAAAAGGGACGGAGATAATAAACCCCCGTGCATTGCACGGGACTGTACTAGTTCTTATTATATATGTATAGATATTTTTCTATTTGAAAAATGCTGAAAAATCACTGGCTACATCCTACTTATTTTAATTAAAAAAATTTGTAATTATAAAGATAAGTTTATGATTTTGTTTAATCTATATATATATATAAAGATAACTATTTGATTATTTTTTAACTAGTAACTATTTTCTTTCAAAAAATTTTATTTACTATTTCGATAAATTAATTTAACAATTTATGGTAAATTGCATATAATCACTTATGGAAATTGCAGCCCATTATTTAAGAAAATAATTAAGCTATAAAATAATTCATTTTTAAAATATTTTAATTACTCAAATCATGTGACTGGCTAATTTACCCAAATATGGAAATTTCGGTTGCAATATCAATTATGCGATTTGGTAAAAAAATTCAACTAAATTGTGTAATTTATTATTTAATAAGTGTTTTATATTTTTTTGTGTAATTCTTTTATGATGTGCATTTTTAATATACCTTAATTACTCAAATTGTGTAAATCCGACTGATTTATTCAATCTGCAAATAATTACTACAATTATAAAAATATAAACAACAATAATCAATTATGCGATTTGCGAAAACCTTTTTAAAAATTTGTGTTAATGATATTTTTTATTTAAATATTATTTAATAAATGTCATTCATCTTTTGTGTATTTAAATACTCAAATCGTGGATAATTGAGAAAATAATTAGACCATAAAATTTATATTTTTAATATACCCTAATTATGTAAATCGTGTAAATTCGGTTGATTTATTCAATTATAATTATTTATAAAATTATTCTAAAATAATTGTAAATCTGGAGAATGCTATGGTCGATATTTCTTTATAAATGTGAGTGGAATATATAAAGGTTTGTATTTACTTAAACCACATTGTAGTCAAATCGAATTTTCTATTAAAATTTTTAAAATGACACCTATTTTGAAATGTATATAATGTAATTTATTATCAGTTTCTTGCACCATACGGACCGTGTACTATTTTAAGTAGACATGTTTTATATAATTTTGCACAATGTAAATTTCATATAACATTTTCACAAATTAATATAGGTATATTGTATTGCATATTGATTTCATATTTTTAATTTATAAATATTATTTAATAATTATTTTTAATTTATAAATAATCATGAAACAATTAGTAAAGGGAGTAAATTTCCCAATTTTAGAACGATTGTTGACATATTGGGCTCGTTTTTATTTGGTGTTTTCATCTATGAATCAATTTTGGGCTTTAAAATTTTTGTTTCAACAATTTCTTTTACAAATTAATTCGTAAAAGCCCATTTATTATCAACAGCCCAAAAAATTTATCAATTGCAAATGGACATTTTTAATGAAAAAAAAATAAACGTGATAATTATTTTAATAATTATTTATTCTGGAACCAAAGCCAAATGGACAGTTTTAAACCACAGACACCAATATCTGTTTTAAACCAAAGACACAAATATCTATTTTAAACCAAAGCCCAGAATAACCTACTTACCTGGCTAAAAGTACAAATTAAAATAAAATAACACACAAAATACGAGGACATACAGGTCAGTACGTGACAAAAGAACAATTTAAACAACACATCCTCTGCAAATAATGGTACTCACATCCTCGGTGGTCTTGTTCTCGCCTTACTCCGCCGGCGGCGGCGCCTCTTCCTCGGTGGCCGGCGGAGGCGCCTCTGGCTCAGACGCCTTCTTCTCATCCGACACGGCCTTCTTCTTTGCCGCCTTATTTTCCTTCTTCTTCGCCGCCTTTTCCTTCCTCCTCTCCTCAATTTTCTTCCTCTCCTCCTCCTTTTCCTTCTTCTTCTCCTCGTTTTTCTTCCTCTTCTCCTCGTTTTTCTTCTTCTCCTCTTCTTTCTCCGCATCTTCAATCTGCGCTCGTTCAAGCGCAGTAAGGCAGGTGTGGTTCTTCAACTTCTGGAAACTGCTATGGTAGTGTTCGCATTTCCAACACCAAAAGTTATCTTTCGTGAATTCTTTTCTATTCCAGTGAAATCTAAATCCCCCCATCGTCTTGAACCGTTCTCCACAGTCCCCACATTTGTAGGGGCCGTCGCCGGAAGAATTGTTTTCACACTGGACACGTACAATCCCTGTGGTCTTGAACCGTTTTTCGTAGTCTCCACGTTTATACGGGCCGGTAGAGTTCATTTTACACTCGAAACCTACAAAAAATTTGGAAAATTAAAATTGGGCCTTAATTGGGCTTACAAAATAAATGGGCTTTAAATATAAAATAAACACAACACAAAAATTTAAAAAAAAAAAATTGTGCTGAAATAAGCACTGTCTTGAACAGTAGATCGTGTGTATACACATATACATATCATGGATAAGGTATATTTTGCTTTGAGTAGGAAAGTACGTATACAATAACATGTCACTTTCACTTTTCACTTGTTAAAAGAAATTAAATAACAAATCTTTGTACTTTTGCTTGGTACTTTGATTTGTCTGTTAAATTATGAGACATAAATTAAATACATGCATTAAAGAAAGTAATAATTAACTGCATTAATGGATAATTTTCCAAAAGTTAAGCATTAAAGAAAGTAATAAATTGACTCATTAATGGATATTTTTCCAAAAATAGTCATATGACGTGGCAAAAGGGCAATTATGTCATAATAATTAATCTAACAAGCTATCATATGATTTTTTTCTAGTTTAAAACCCTCAAATATTGAATAAAGTAAAAATGCAAAACTATTTTAAAATAAAGAAAGAAGATAAATTTAGAATTATGAATAAATATAAATATAAATATAATAATTAAATTTGATTTAATATAAAAAAAACATTGATTAATAAGATTAATAGTCATATGCATATAAATTAATGATATTTTTATTGGAAAATATATAAGTATTTAGTTTTTTTTTTTAAAGGTATTAGTGAGATTATAGATAAAAATGAATGTAACGAATAGCATTTTTATAAATTTTGACTTTAAAAAATCATTTGTATAGACCAAGGTTTTAAATACCAAATCCGTCTATAATGCCGTTAATATCGATACCTGCCTTTGGCCGCGTAATATACTAAAATTTTTTAATCTTCGGTAATACTGAATTATACAGGAATATAATTATACAAGGTAAAATATATACCGGTCAAGACTAAACAAACTAAAAATATATAAATAAAATAAAAGCAAATTTGATACCGGTCAAGTGTTTTTAATTTTAATTTATGTTAGTAAAATTATAAATAAAAAATATAATGATATATATTTTTATAAGTTGAGTGCTTTTTAATTCAGCCATTGTTTCATTGAGAACACTGCGCACAATTCAGTTTTAAATCCGTACAGATTGATTACACAATGTGTAGGACACCTAATACCACTTCAAGTAACAATTATTTAAAGTTCCTACAAATACAGAGAAGAACAATAAGTCAATAACCGCGCATGACTTGTAGCAGAACACATAAAGATTGTAAGAAGGCCACACATTAGTGAAGAAATAAAAAATACTAACGTGTTTGGTCAAAAAAATCATAATATATATAACTTTTCAGAATTAATAACGGAGATAATTATAAGTGCTTGCAATAATAAATAATTATAAGAATAAAAATAAGTTGAATTACTTGAGTTCCTAATTAAACACAACATTTAACCCAATCCGTTTTTTACCTACCTCTATATTTATCATAGAAAAAATAGCAGTATTAGAGTTTTCGAAAATGTAGTCTCTAATGACTTTACTAATGTTGTCAATANATATTCTTGTAAGTAGTGGTATCTATTAGCACATGACGTTGCTCCTCATTATGACGATAAACAACAAAAACCCATGACGCCATGACTGAACATAATAAAATTTTCAAAATGCATGCACAGCATAGTGAAACTGCCAGCAAACCCTGCTACCATAATTATAGCACAAATATCAGAAAAGCACTCGCTCTCATAGTTTTAGTTGTATCACAATTTCACAAATATGTACAAAAATTTGCTTTTTTTTCAACTCACTCACACACAATAAAGTTAATTTGTATCACAAATGCGTAAAAATTTTTGATTTTTCTTCTTTCACACATATATACAGACGCACTAAAGTAACAACTTGAGAGCCAAAAAGTTTATCGGTAATAATTTAAGAATAAAATGGTCTTGTTGTTTAAATATATATATACGTATGTTGTTTAAGTTCGTTTTATTACCTAATAATTAATCTAGTTACGTCTAACGCAAAATGATAGAAAAATGAGTTAATTAATGTGAAAAGTAATAAAGATTAATTATACACTTAATTTAAGCATAATAAAAACATTCAAATAATAAGCAGTGGAGGCGATATAAGTTTACAATTAAAATATAAGAGTTGATATGCAATTTGCAAAACATTAAAAAATATATATTTTTATTAAATATATTTACTAAAAAGCTAAAAATTGAAAAATTATGTGACTGAGGAATAAGGAAACTTTTCTCCTATGGCCATGTGTCACCTAATTTGCCTCGGTCTGTTTCAACTTGTTCAGCATGAGCATTACAGCGGGCCATATGGAAGCGTTTTGAAGGGAATAAAGGAGCTTTTGGGTCGTCCATGAATGGTGGAGATTGCTCATGGTTATAGAGAAGCCAACTTTATGGCGGATTTCTTGGCATCTTTAGCGGCTAAAGGCCCAACTGGCCTTCATAGGTTGGAGAGTCCTCCACCGAAAGCGAGCATATGGTTACACCATGACTTGGTCGAGGTGTCTTATCCCCGGCGGATTCTAACTTAGATTATGCGTAGGCCTAGCCTCTCCTTCTTGTACCAAAAAAATACAACTTGTTTCATTTTTCCAAAGTTATGGGGAAATAAGGATGAATACGTATAGCCCGAATATTGAGATGATACAAGTAAAAATAAAAATTATTAATTTTTATTCTAAAAAAAGACTAATTTAAAATTATAATAAATATAATGAAAATAATAATGTATTGATTGAGAAGACTAATAGTTAGAAACATATAAATGGATGAATATTTTTTTTTTTTATAAATATATAAAGTGTTTACTTTTTATTTTTAATTTGTGTTAATAAAAAATATTGTAATATATATTTTATAAAAAATAATTATTTAATTTTATACACACACATATCCATGCTTAACATTTAAAATGGGAAAAAAACAAAAAGGGAGCACAATTACAATTCATTCACAAAATGGTATAAACAAAAGCACCTGCTTGAAAAAACGAACTTCAGAATGAAATATAATAATCAGCACAGGAAATGTTTGCATTTGTGTTGTGAGGCATGAAATATTTCCGCCAGAGAACGTCACTCTCATTATGACAACTATTAACACAAAAATGAACAGTAACCTTAAAAAAAATATACCATTTCACTGATACGAGTTTGACTCTTTTTGATTCTGTCACAGTTTCAAACACTTTGCTCACAGTTCATTTGAAATCCATACTGATTGATTACATATTCGAAGTAACAATTTTGAAAGTTTCTACAAATAGAGAGAATAAGTCAATAACCACATGACTTGTAGATGAACACATACAAATTGTAAGAAGGCCACACATTTGTGAAGAAATAAAAATTACTAACGTGTTTGGTCAGAATTTACTACAAGTCTACAACTCGAGTGGCACCATTGAACAGTAAAAATACTTCACCAAACCGTCTACCAACGGCTTTTTCGTTTTCCTAATAAAAGAAACAAGAAACTGTTGGAGAGATCTTAAATTTTGGTTTTTATTTTATAAGCTTTGATGAATAGCTCTTCCAAATTTGGAGGAAAACATAATTTGTTCATTCACATTCTCGAACTACCTTACAACACCATTTTGGAGGGGAAAGGCAGGGAAAATGGACATCAAAACAATAATAATAAAAAAAGGACATAAAATGCTTGTTTGCTAGCAAACAACTCAATGAAATGTGTAAACAATTGTACGAACCTGCTTACAAAGGCGTTCTCTCTCTCGAGAGTCAACTGCATCACTAATTCTGTGATCAATTTCATCCGGACCCTAATATCTTTTGCAGTCTCCTTCGCCTCGTCAGCCTCGGAAAATTGATTTGCTCAACAAAGCTCTGCATTGGACTCATCGGACAACATGAAACACTTCCCCTCGACACTCTCTGTCTGATTTTCCACCTTCAAACCTTTAGATTTCAAATCTTTGATCAAAAGTTCCATGTCTTTGATTGTACTCTCCAACGTGCTTTGTTTCTCTTGATTAGCTTCGACAAATGCCACTGCATGCAATCGCTTGTTTTCGGACACCTTCAATTGCCACTCTAATTGTTCCAGCTCCTGAGTAGTGAGGGCAGAATATGATATGACTTTAAGGGAGTCCGTGTTGTTCGATTCACCCTCGACTTTGCCAAAACAGACATTTTCAGGTGTATCTTGTGTACCGTCGAAATCAATATTCAAAAATCAATATGCTGATATAAGAACGGTTACTCATTCTGCAAAAGCACTTGTTCTTTTTAGTAAAGATCTTTTAGTATGAGAAAGTACTTTGCTTGCATTAGAGGAAAACTAAACTAGTGATCATACCATCAATAAATCGACTCGCCAGGGGAAAATGTAAGAAAAACATGAATGATTGTGAAGGAAACTCAAATGCCAACTTATCCACCACTTCAAAACTTAAATACCATCAATAAATCGACTTGCCAGTGGAAACGCTATTCCTCCAGAGGATAACAACAAATTCATGAGATGAAATAAATCATGTCTGCATAATTTCTCTTCTTAAGAAACAAGTAAATCAATTTTGGTAGCCCAAATTCACAATGCCGAGAAGCCCGGCTGTCGCGAAAAAGACCATCATCGTGCATTAATTACTTCAGTTTGCTAACTCTGTGCTACTTACAATACCGAGAAGCCCAACTGTGGCGAAAATGGTGTTATTTGAGAAGTTACAAGCTGGTAGTTATCACTAAAATTCCTGGCACAACGATAAATGCAATGCAACATATTCACTTGCACCAAAATGAGATGAACTCATGGCATTAATTATTAAATGCATCTGCATAAATATTCCATGAATTCTTTCAATGGGCTACTGTCAAATTTCCTCTTCTTCAATTGTATCTGACAGATTTATTCTCCAATTTTCACGATCCATCATTTATTTAAACATTCCATTAAAACAAAAGGCCGAATCTCAGTATTACTCAGACAAATTTCAATAGTGGTTTCATTACAAGACAGTATCCACAATTAGACGAGGAATAATCTCAATCCCAATAACTGCACAATGTGGATCAAGATCATATAAATTAAAGAAAAGAAAAGGCAAAACTAGGGAAAATAAAACAGAAAAAAAAATGCAGATGCTCCCCATCATTGTGTCCGAATATTAATACGATCGTCAAACAATGAAGACGGTAATATATGGACAAAAAATAAGAACATACCTCGGCGGAAAATGCAAGGGTTCAAAGGCTCGATTTTTACTTCATTTTTTTCTTTCGCGGATTTGATGTGCTCAACTGCATCTGTTACACATCTCGTCATCTCGTCCACCGAGTGAGACTCGCGGAGCTGAGTCTACAGCGGTGTCTTACATGTCTGTTTTGGTTCTACAACCCAAGGGGACATTGCTACGGAAGAAATGGCTCATTTATTTGGGCTGTAAGGGATGGGCTTAATTGGGCCACATAATTTATTGGATTCAGATACCAATAGGCCACCCACCCCAGATAATAAACAAGGGCAATAATTCATAAGAAATTTACATATATATATATAGATTCCAAACTGCTATTCACCGTCCCCTTTTTACTAGTCACCGTCTCCTCCCCATTTACTCTTTTGCCTTTAATCCTTTTTCAGAATCTATCTCTTTAAACTTTCTATCTCTCTAAATTTCTGAACTTCAACGAACGATTCGAGCACCGAAAAAAATCCACAAAAATGTCGAAAAAATTCTACGGCCTCGGCAAAGGACTCTTCTCCAACAAGGTAATTTTATTTTTTTTAATGCCAGAACTATTTTTAAATAATTTTTTTTTGAATCTGCGCGGCCGTCCAGCCGGTGCTTCCGGATGGCCGCCGTCCGTCCGGTCGTCGGTTCCGGACGGACGAAAAACCGTCCGATCGGCCGAACCGGACGGCCGAAAAACCTTCCGGAACCGCCGGCCGGTCAGTTTATTTTTTTTTATAATAATTATAATAAAATAAATAATTATAATTATTATAATAACAATTATAAATTAAAATAATAATCATATATTATAATAATAATAATAAGTTAATAAATTGTAATTAATTATAAATTCTAATTAAAATAATAATAATAATAATAATAATAATAATAATAATAATAATAATAATAAT